TTGATTTTCTTTTGAGCCCTTTTTATGCACAACATCAGAGAAAAAAGATTTTCCTTTTTATTTGCATAAAAATATGACTGCCCATTACCCGAAGTGACTGCACAGGCTGTTCGCCGATGTTTGTGCCCTGCCGCCTTTGCACACTAGACCACACTGCAATGTCTTTCTTTCCCTCTTCTGTCGTATTTATATTTCTGGCTGTAGAAAATAATTAAAAAGAATTATGGTCTCTCAACTGTTTCTTTTTCTTCTTTTTCAGAGGCACCTAGTGAATAGCTGACTGGAGAAATGAAGACAGAGAGGCCGAACAGTGGCGAGAAAAAAGTGGAGAGAATAACGCCAAATTGACATGTAACAGACTAATTTTTATTGTTTCACTGCCACTGAATTGTGCGCGAGCAAGACCGCCTCTATTCATTTGACACGGCGATTCACAACCTCTACCATTACTGCCGTTGCCGCTACCGTTGAAGACGATGATGATGATGATGATGTGAGCAAACGAGCACATCTTTTCCATCCTCGTCAAAGAGCACAAAGTGTGCGCTGCAGCAAATGCGCATGCAAACGGCAACAGAAACCAAGTTCCCCTTCAAACCATTTAGCAGTTCATTTCAGGCAGCTGCAAAGTACTAGTGGCTAGTGGCAGGAAAGGCTATCAAATGGTATTCTCTCTCTCTTTTCCTTTCCCTCTCTGCCTCTTTTCTCAATCTGCTACTGCTTCTGTTGATGCTATTTGACGCATTTGTGCTGCTGATTTGTGCCGCTCACCCCAGGGATAATGTGCAGACTGGTGCAATGATACAGTACCACTTCCAGACAGTGCTAGACATTCTCTGACCAGTCATTGTAGCCGCTGTTGATGGCACACACGCACACACACACATGAATACTTGCACAAAACACCGACTCGAAGTGTTCGTGTTATGGCGCCAATTAGCTAGTTATGTTTCACTTCATTTGTCGGCAGCTTTTTATGCACCTAGACTTTCCTTTGCCCATCTCTCTAGCAATATTCTGCGTACAATAAGTATAAACACAAGAGTGAACACAACACTGGACAAGTGTTGCAAGTGGCAGTAGAGCGCGACTCTAATGACCGAACGCTCTTCGACCCCTAAGCTGCTGGTCACGGGCAATTGCCGTAGCGGCACTGTTCAACAAGTGTCAATGAGCTGCTCAGTGAAAGTAAAAGGAAAAATTTGGTGTAGAGCAGGCTCCACTTTTTATTTGTTATGTAAAGCTCGACAATGCGACAAATGTACCAGTATGCTGAGAAGAGTATGGCACTACCGTTGACAAAGTGTAGGCAGCACTACTTTGACATCGTTTGAGCAACGTCGGCGGCAGATTGTTTGAGTTACCTTGAGACCAGAGCAGTCGGCTTCTTGCTTGCTTTCCAGCCAAACGATTGCCAGTCGACTGAATGAACACCAGTGCACTGGTAGTCTTTGAGGCTCCCTTCTGCTAAGTGCTGCATTATTGGCCGGACTCGATTGTTTGCACTAATAATATCAATTGTGAGCTTTGCTTTCACTACATTGGGCGCCTCAATGCTATATTGGACGAGATTTGCCTATTTGCGCCTGAAGAGAAGTGATGTTGGTGATCATTCATGGAAAGAAGAGAAAAAGAATGCTACTACCTTGCCGATGCCTTCTCTCTCCTTCTTCTGCTTTATTCTCATGTCATCAAGGAGAAGATAAAGGACCCGCTCTCGTTGACAATTGTCGTTCGCTTCTCCGGGAGTTCAACAAAATCGAGAGTTTGTATATACATATTCAGAAATGAGAATAGAGTGCAGCATGGCAAATATTGCCTCCGCTATTGACTTTGCTCTATTTGCACTAGCCAGGCGAGTCTCTGTTTGTGCTCGAGCTTTAATTGGAAGTGGAAAACACAAAGTCAGTGGTGATGCTGATGATGGGCGCGTAAAGTGAAAGCGATCACCACCAGCAGATCATCAGGCGAGCATCAGTGCCGCTATTGACTGAATGCCCCTTGCTTGATGACAAGTGTGAGTGAGTGCTCTCCCCACGACGATCGCCGACAAACGCCCTCCGGATGAATCGATCGACCACTGCACTTTTTGTGGACTGTTAGCCTTCACCACCATCATCACCTCTGGTCTAGTATCATACTAATGCACTGCTGACTTTACTGTCCTCGGTTTATTGCCTAAATAGACTGAAAGTAGGCAGAAAGGAAGAAGGAGTCTATTTGCCTGCTGTCAGGTCATCATCAGCACTGGCAAGCTGGCCAGCCAGTAGTTCTCGGTGAAATTCAATCTCTTTTTTTGGCCTTCCAAGTTCATTAGTCGATCCTTCATTGGCTATCGATTAGGCCTCTCTGTGGACAGGGGCCTAGCAGCCATCTGAATGGTTGCACACTTGTTGCCCTGCAACTGACCTGGCTGCCAGCAGATACGGGTGGGTGAGTTATTAGACACTGACAGAGGAAGGAATGGCTGTCAGCGTCACTTTGATCCCAAAATAAATATCTCTTCGGGCTGCAGTGGCCCCGATTGCCCTGCCACGGTGCTGTAATAAGCGATTCGAGTAGCACTCATTCTGGTGCTGGCTCCAGCTGACGCTCTAGCTTCTTTAGTGATTTGTCTTGATGGCCATAAAAGCGTCATCTCGTTTTCAACAAGTTTTCAGTGGCAATAAACGTTGGCTCTCCGTTCGCTTCGGCAGAAGAAGACGCCAACGGTGGAATTGCCACACTATTCCCATGACTTTTGTTTAACTTGTGAAACAAACACCACCGATGAGCGACGATCACTGTTGCTGCTTTTCAGTAGTCCCGGTGCTAGCGTAGGAAAGTGAGAGAGAGAGAGCAGTGCATTAATGGCCTGAGACCATTAGATCTAATGATGAGCTCTTGGACGTGCCAATGTGTCACAAGAGCATTCTCAAAGTAAGTGCTGGTGGCGGTGAGGACGGTGCAGCACCGAAGTTGAGACGAGGTGTAAGGGGGAAGCTGTAAATGCCTGAGGAATGCACTGAGAAGTAAAGTTGACGAAGAGTGTGTGACGTGTCCGGGCACATGTCACTGTGAGGATACTGATCTGCTCGTGCTGCTATGCGCTAATGTGATCTAACGACCCGCAAAGAAGAAGCCCTCTCCTTTTGGGCCTCCTTTGGTGGCAATTACAGCACTACTGCACCGCACTACAATGACACTTCTCCTGCTGCACAGTTCTCTGCCTCAACTTGGGCAACTTAATCTGTTCACTAAAGCTGGGCAACTGCTTCTTCTCTTTCCTTCAGTTGATCGTCTTGCAGTTCCTGTCCGTAATTGAGGAACATATAATGAAGCCTGTCCCTGCTAGTGGTAAAAGTTAGTGAACTACACGTTTACAGTAAAACACTTCATTTGATAATGGATTCTTTTTATTATTTTGTTATTATACTACATCATTTACAAGAATTTGCAGTGATAGGGTAATCGCGCAAATATGAATAAATACACAAAAATGAAGCAATGCTTAGCTGATGACCAAAGCTGCTTCGTTTAGGTGAAAAGAAAGAGACTATGTACAAAAAGGTGAGACAAGGGGTATGTACAGTAAACAAAGAACAAAGAACAAAAAAGAAGAAACAACAAGTGGGGTGGCAATCGGTGGTGATGGGGGCGGTGATGGTCAGGCGGTCAACGTTGCTGGCGATGCTGCTGCTCTGCTTCTTGTGACTGCTTTGGTGATGCCACTTCAGATCAGGCAGACACAGAGGTCATGCCTGTCGTCTGTCGTGTAGGTGGCCAGCAGCGTACACTAAGTGGAGGCACAGCGACAGCAGCAGCAGCGGCAGAAGAGAGGGCGAAAGTGCAATGAGAAAGCTCGTCCAGGAGGAAATGCAGAGTGAGATGCATAGTAATAAATAAGTAGTAAGTGTGTGTGTGTGTGAGTGTGTCTGCAAGTGACACTGATCAGTAAGGTGATGTGGTCGAAGAAAGAAAGAAAGAGATAGTGAGTGAATGAGAAGAGGACCGGACGAGAGACAGACACTTCTCAAGTGTGGCTGCTGCTGCTGCTGCTTCTGTTCGCCAACAGGTAAGCTCATCGGAAGAGGAGAGAGGAGAATGAAAGAGAGAAAGATAGGGCACAGAAAGACACGCCGTGACTCGATGACTGCTGACCATGGACCGAAAGTGAGAGAGAGAGAGGTTGAAGTGTCGATGGTGAAAGTGACACACACTATGACTTGACTGGTTTGGATTCAAAGGCTTTGAAGTGACTTTGGCCAGTGATGAGGCCAGTGGAGATGAAGAATAAATAGGCAATGGAAGGTGTAGCTGGCTGTGGTGAGAAGGGGGCATCACAATATGACTGACTGCAGTGAAGAAGGAGAACGAGAGAAGGAGAAAGAGACGAGGAAGATTAGGCACAGCGCAGGCACAGTTTGTTCACGATGATGATTGCAAATGGTCCGCTGGGAGAGATACGAGGTGCAAGCTGGGCAGAGAGAGCATGAACACACACACACTGCGGCTACACTTCGGTCGCCTGAAGCTTCGACTTGGGATCGTTGTAAATTGGCTGCGAGTAGTGGTTCTCTATCACATATACCGAGTTGGACCGGCAACCTTGCTGCTGCTGTTGTTGTTGATGCTGCATCCTCTGCAGGGTAGCGGCGAATTGGATATTGTTCTGGAGGTTGTTGCTGCCACCACAGTGCACCTTTGCTGTCTCCTGTGACGTCTTTGGCTGTTGCTGCTGTTGCTGATGGTTGTGCTGCTGGTGGTGGTAGTTGTGGTGGTGGTGGCTGGCAAACTGCTCGCCCAACGCTCGACCACTGTTGCAGTCACTGAAGAGAACAAAAGAGAAGGAGCAAGGAAGATCTCGATTAGTCATCACGGTACACTTAATTGACTCATTAATTGTCTACGGGCCGGGCAGCAGCAGAAGCAGCAGCAGAAGCTACTTTGGCTACTGCGCGTAGCTAATCGCCTGGGAGGCAGGCAGGCAGCGGGAAATCATTAGGTCGTTCGCGACTGGCTTACCTTTTCTCAGGACAAATGGCCACCGTTTGACTGGCGTAGATGTCCAGGTTTGACTGCTTCGGTGCATGCACCGTCTGGTAGATCTGCTGACTGGAGAGGTTGTTGGTCAGCAGATTACTCTTCGACGGCTTCTGCAGCTGCTCGTAGGTGTGACTGTACGGGTCGTCCATGTTTGAGGACATGGCTGAGGACAGTTTCACCTGTTGCTGCTGTTGCATGCAATCTGTGTTCAGTGCCTTGTAGTTTGCTCCCAGCGTCTTGTAGCCGTCCTTTTGCAGAGTGGCTGCCTTGTGGGCAAAGTGGGGCCCGTAGACGTACTCATTGGTGACCTTGCTCTGGCTGGCGTGGCTGTAGTGGCTGTGATAGCTGCCGCTGCCGCACTTGTTCAGGTGTGCCAGTGAGGAGGTTCGGTCGAGTGCGTTGACGATGACATTGGCCGCAGATGGGTTGAGGCACTGGTCGAGGCACTTGTTGTTCAGACCACTCATCACTGCATTGTGCTCATTCTGTCTTCTCGCCTCCTCCTCGTCTCGTCGCGACTTCATCTTACTCTCCCGTCGTCGCCAGACGCGGCAGAAAATGAACACCGCCAAGATGATGATGGCTAGCAGTGGAAGGGAGATCGAGCCAAAGATGATCAGCGGAAGCTTTCCACTCGAAAAAGGACCTTCATCACCGTTGCTGCTCTGAGGTTCGGAGAAGGCAAAAGTGGAGTTGCTGAACTCACAGCGAGAACCGTAGTAGCGCTGGGTACAGGAGCACTCAAACTCGCCCACCAGGTCTCTGCAGGTGCCCCCGTTCAGACAGGGCCTAGCCGCGCAGTCGTCCACATTCACCGAGCAGTCCTTGCCGGTGTAGCCGGGCGGGCAGGTGCAGGTGTAGTCGTTGATGCGGTCGCTGCAAACGCCGCCGTTGGCGCAGGGCTTCATCAGACAGTCGTCGACGTTCACCTGGCACAGTTCGCCCACAAAGCCGGGCACACACAGGCAGCGGAAGGAGTTGATCTCGTCGACGCAGCTGCCCGAGTTCAGGCATGGGTTCGACTCGCAGTCGTTGATGTTCACCTCACAGTGGTCTCCGGTGAAACCGGCCCGACACTGGCAGGTGTACCCCTCTTCGCTTTTGCCTGATTCAGTAGAATTGGCCAAACAGTTACCGCCTGGAAATGGTAAGAGAGAAAGAGGAGAAGGCAAAAGGTTAGAGTGTTGTTTGGGTTTGTTGAAATGCTATTTATCGAGAGATGTAGAGAGATGAGTTGAAGACAGCGACCATCAGTATTACTTACCATTAAGACAGGGGTTCGGCTGGCAGTCCTTCTGCTTCACCTGGCACTTGCTGCCGGAGAAGCCCAACTTGCAGACGCACAGGTATCCACTGGGTCCGTCGACGCAGGTGCCATCATTGTCGCAGGGGTTGCTCGCACAGGCACTGACAGGATGCTCGCAGTGGTCGCCCTGGAAACCGGTGGGACAGTGGCAAGTGTAGTCCGTGGCATTGCTCTGTCAAAACAATAAAGATAAGAGAAATTGAATGATCGATTTATCGGAAATCCGTCTAAACAAATCATCAACGGCGACAGGCAAACAGAATGTGAGGGGGTGATGCAGCCTGCTGATAGTTCTGGCGTCAGCAGGCGTGTGTTCAGTTAGCTTGTAGACCTCTTGACATTCTCAAGTGGTTGCATGTTTGTGTGTGTTCAAATGGCGACGATGTCACCAGGTAGGCAGCTGACTGCAGTGCAAGTGCCCATGCACGAGACAATGGCCACTTCGGTGGATGCTCTCGCGCGCTGCCGACTAGTGATAAGCGCGGTCAGATTGAGAGAGCGAGAGAGAGACAGTCTGAGGACGATGTACGATGTAACCTACGAGAATGGGCCATTGTCTTTGCTCACAGAGGTTGACTCTGATGTTATCTTATCGAGGCTGTGTCTTCTTACAGCACACTAGCTGAACGGCAGCAGCAACAACAACAACAAATGCGGCAGTTCCCTGGCCTCTGCTGGCCTTCGAACAACAACAAAAAGTGATGCAGTAGTGCTAAAAGCGAACTGACTTCTCTCAACTTGGATAGGTAGGGACAGAACAACTGAGCAGAATCGACAGAATGACACTATGGCGGCTTTTTACTCTATTCTTACTGAAAAAGGTCTGCCACCAGACAATGGCAAGCGAAGGGTAGAGTGAGCGAAGAAGAGGGAAAAGAATTGCGCTCAATTGGCCTTGTCGCGCGTGTCTGCTCCAGTTGAGTGCCATTACGAGCAGTCAAATACAATTAGCGAGCTAAAAGGTGCGCTCAGAGGCAGACAACAGCAACAAGAAGAGTAGCAGCAGCAGCCCATTAGCGAGCATCAAGTGTGGCGCGAGCAAACTACTGCCTTCAGGAGAGCGCCAATCACCTTTCGGTAGCCTTCACTTCTCTCCTGCTGCTCTTTCATCACCAAGAGCAGACTCATCAAAGGTGGAATACAAAGGAAGCGCTAAGTAGCATTGCAGGCATAGCCTTTGCCCTCTTTCCAGTGAATGGCCCACAAATTAGACAATTGACTGCATCACTGCCACACCGTTTGAACTGCCACTGCAGAATTCTGCCTGGCTCGGGATGAAGAATTGTGCTCATTCGCACGTCATATGGGAACGACGTAAAAAAGAGTGCTCAACCAGCACCACCGCCATTGGTGGGCACATCATTAAGCAATGGGGCACAAGCAATTCGTCTGAAGTGAGTGCTAGTCGCTGATCAGACGGCTAGATAAGTGTTAGATCACCACCAGGCTAGGGTTGCTCAGTCAAAATGCAAAGGTGCTCAATGGTGGCCCAGGACTACTACTGCACTTTCCTTTCTTCTTTGGCGAACACACACTGACCATCTGCAGTAGGAAAGAACTGAAACAAAGAAAAGGAGAAAGGGAAAGAAAGAGACTGGCAGACACATGTTGCGGGTGCGACGAGAATTGGCCAACAGCAGTGGACAGCAGTAGCAACAGCAGTTACCCGACTGCAACATATGTGCACTGTGCTAGGCGGAATTGAAAGCTAGCGCACCATATGGACTGATTTTCTTCTTTTTTTAGCTAACTCTATTTAACTCTATTACCACTATCGGCAGACAGACGCCATTTGTGAGCTTGCAAATTGTGTGTAAAAAAGCAGTCGCAAAAAAGTGTTGACATCTTACCTTGCACGTAGCTCCATTTTGGCAGGGTGATCCTTCGCAAACGTCCACTACCTTCTCGCACTGGACGCCGGCAAATCCCGGCGGACATGAGCATGTGAAGGAGCCCTGGCCAGTGTTGCTGCAGGTGCCGTTGTTCTTGCAGGGGCGGTGGTTGGTGCAGTAGTTGAGATCTGCGTCAGAGCAAAGACGGAAGAGAGGAGAGAAAATCAATTAGGAAGTGTGCATTATAGCAAAAGGTGAGCGGTGTGAGCAGTGGCAGAAGGAGCAGCACTTACCGAGATTGCACATCAGACCACCCCATCCTTCTTCGCAGATGCACTCCCAAGGCCTGGAGCAGCTGCCGTGCTTGCAGTTGGGGTACTTGATGCACTGGGTGCAGTCTTTGCCAGTCCAACCTGATCGGCAACGACACTCGTTTGGACGAATGCATTCGCCATTGGTGGAGTTGCAGTGGTTGCACACCGCTGTCAGTGGGGATGAGGAAGAGGAGAGAAAGAGAAAGAGAAAGATGCAAATTAGTCAAGTGAAATCGATACGCCGACGACAGTCTGGCGCAGTGCAGACGACAATGGGACAGGAGCAAACAATGGAGCTAAGCAATGGAGGTAGTCGATAAGTGGCAATATATGTGACTGATAAGCGATGCCAGTGCACTGCTCACAAATCAAAGAGGTAAGCCAGTCGGCGGTCAACGATCCAACGAGCGGTTGATTTGTAGAAAGGGACAGACAGAGCGCATGACAGAATAACTTAGAGGAAGCGACTGAAGTGAGAGCGATCTGCTGTCGGCAACAGGTAAATGAATTCGGCAGCAGTTATAATCATTGGCTACTTAATTCGTCTGCTGCAGCTGAGGACAGTTTGGGAGAGGACACAACCTGGCTGGTTAAGGGCAGCCACCACCACCACCATCAAGAGTACTACTGTGCTCAGCTCTTCTCCTCGATCGAGCAGGAGAGATGATGATGACACCGACAAAAGCGACAATGTGAGCTGAACGATGATAATGGCAACTGAGGTTACACATCAACAGCAGTAGCAGCAGCAGCAGTCTCGGGTAATAAATGAGACTGCTCTCACTGTCGGTGTCGGACAGGCAGAGAGAAAGAAGCAGCAGAAAGTTCTCACTTGGCGCGCCAGGCGCTTCGAGTGGAGTCCTTTTTTAATTAGCTCACTGTTCTTTCTCTCTCACTTATTTACTTCTCACCCCCTCTTTTTCCCCATCCCCAAGTTCTCCTCCTTCTCCTGCACCGCAAGATTTGCTACTGTTGTCAGTAGTGTTTCATATTTTTATTGTTTTATGGACTTGAAGTGCTTCGTATATTCACGGCTATTGAGGCTGCAGATAGGCTATAAGCAATTTGTTCCGCTTGATATGCAATTAAGCAACTAGTCCGCGCTACTGAAAAAGCAGAGGGGGCAAGGGAGGCTGAGCTTTAGGTCGAGGACTCATCGCGTAACTTGCCAGCAATGCTCAGGGATGAGTTCATCAGCGTGCAGACTGTGGTGCACTGCCTCGCAGTCTGCCTGCATGACTGCCACGCTCAGAGTGCACCACATTCAGGCAAATGTTTCAATTCTGGCTCACAAAACACAGGCGAGCAAGATTCTACGCCAGCACTGCTGTCGGCGTTCAGGTTTGAGCCTCCCGTCTTGAAGGAGCTGATGAAGCTGAAGCCACTGCTCAGTGCTCCCCAGTGCGACAGTGGCAGTGTCTAGAGCGAGCACTGGTCGATGTCATCGGCAAGTCTGAGAGAGAGAGAGTCACCGCAGACTCCTCGACGGGATGTCCGGTTGTCATCTCATAAATAAATAGTGAATAGCACTGAGCGGTCTCTTTCTGTGTTTGTCCTGTGTGTGAGCACTGAGCACTGCAGCGATCACCACTAGCACCACCACCACCACCACAACTACCATCAACAGGAGGAGAACTTCGATCACCAGACCACTGAGAGGTTCTGTTGTGTTCTGTTCTAAACGCATATGTTTCGGCGCGATTAGCAGCTATCGCGCCAGTGCAAACTTCCTTAGATCAATATTTAACTTTTAGTGGTGGTGGTGCTGCCGTTGCTGGCAAAGCATTTTCATTTCAATTTTTCTAGCTTACCCTCCACCCTCCTCCCAATTGTCTTTGTTTGCCCTTTGTCAGTATATTACAGCGAATGTACAGTCAAAGAATGGCACTTACGTCGATCGCAGTATTCGCCAGTCCAGCCCGGGTGGCAGATCTGCTTGCCACCGGGGCCGCAGTTGTAGTGGCCAAAGTTGTCATCTCGAGCGGTGCACTTGTTGGCGCACGTGTTGCCAAAGTAGTCCTTCTGGCAGAGGACTCGGTAGGAGAAATGCAGTGACGTCTGGTTCTGCAGACTTCGCTTCGATGTCCATTCCTGGCTGACGGCCAGTGCGTCTCGCTGCTTGGCGTAGTAGCGCCCAATGAGGACGGCGGTTTTGTCATCTGTGAAGAGGCAGAAAAAAAGGAAAGAAAAGGTCAGTGGCTGGGTTCAATCACATTTCACACTGATTGCCATGTGCAATTGTTCGTGTAATATTTCAATTGGTTCGCGCCGATTGCCGGTGCAAGCAGGCAAAGTAGTAGGTAGGTAGTTAGGTGATCGTCAAAAAACTATCGTCAGCTTCAGGTGAAATGAAGCGAAGAAGAAGAAAAGACGCTCAGCAATTGACGGCATCTGAAGTCCATTTCAAAGGAGAAATAGCTGAAACTGGCCAGTCAACGTAGAGGTGACGGAATTAAAGCTGTGCGTGCTCCAAATTGGTTTTAAGCGCGCGCCTCCAAAGAAAGAAAGAGAGAGAGAGTCAGAGAATTCGCATCCGCCGACTGGCAATACGGAGCATCGTCAAGTCAGGTAAATTGAGTTAGGAGCACACAATTGCCACTGACAGGCACTGCTTATTAAGACAATGGAGAGAAGGTAATAGCAAGCGGAAAGGAGCCCCAGTGAAGTTGAAGAAAGATGGAGTGCCGAAAGAGACTGAGCAAGAACACTGTCGCACACTGCATCTTCCGTACTGAGGAGAAGAAGAGTATCAATTAAGAAGAAAAAGAAGAAGCAGTGCAGCAAAGGGGGCCAAGAGAATGCAATGAGAATTAAAGTGAGTTTCTGCTGCTGAGCTATCTTCTGGAGACAATCTCGTGCACGACAGTGGACAGCGGTAGGTCGTCTTTCGTCGTCTGCAGAAGAATCAGCAGCAGCAGCAGCAGTAGCAGTCTTAAGATGTTTCACCAAGGAACTACGCTTCAGCGAGGTTTTCTTGCGAGAAAGCTGATTTAGCGCAGGTAAAGCGTCACGGAGGGGACAGTTTGCATCGAGGGCAATAAGTCGAACGATGTGTAATTATCGTGCAGCGTTCTGGCTACCTAGAACGCCGCGCAGCACTGTCCCCTCCATCAGGTGTCTTCTCTGGCAGGCCGCAGAGTTACCAGCACTGCAGTCCTTCAGTCAGTCTGTTTGTCAGTGCAGTACATTGTCAATTGGCCTGACGATTGGTCTCGAGTCACTAGCCACCGTCGACTCCAGGCAAAAGTGTCCTTCTTCTCAGGTCGTAGTAGAAACTGGCAGTAGTTAGTAGTAGTGCCTTAGACGTCACCGCAAAAACGAGCAACTACCATTCATTAGGTTCATTGAGGCCACCAGCAGCAGGAACAACACTACCTGAGCTACAACAGTATCCATCACTGAGTTTGAGTGAGTGTATGCGCTTAATTGAGCTCTGATCTTTAAAAGTCATCTAGGGTTTGCAATTTAGACAGTTGCAGTTGAAACAGTAGAGCAATGTCCTTTTGAGCTTCTCACACTTGGTGGCGGCGGCAAGATCACAAAGTTGATTGGCCGTGAATATGGTCAGTGGTGGTCACTGGTGACCGACTGATGCTGATCAACTGGTGGCACTGCCGGTCAGATGTCCGCAGAACAAGTGCGCATTTGCCAGAGCAGGCCTAGCAGTAGAGATAAGCAGGGACGCACTTAATTAATCTCCATCTAAAGGCTACACAGTGACAGGCTACACGGCAGTGAGGGGACAGCGTCTGCTCTACGGTCGGAAGTGGCCAGCGATGACCATCTCCGATACTGCAGCACTGCCTGTAAACAAAGTTGTGAATGAAGTGACTGGGAGAGAGAAAAAGCGAGAGATGGGGAGGTGAAAGTGCCCATTCAGCAAGATGAGCGGTACCCGAGAGAGTATTGTCGTAGTAGCAGTGCATCTCACCATAGCGGAAAAGGAGTGGATAGTAGTGCCACTTCGGAGCGACAGTTTGCAGTGAGGGAGAGAAAGAAGCTGTCTGTTTGTGTGCGACTGGTTTGAGCTACTTGTTGCCGTCTTGTTCGACGCAGTGGTTCGATGATGCTGCTGGCCCAGACAATCGAGAGCGACCGAAGAGAGAGAGAGAGAGAGAGAGAGAGAGAGCGACTTTCTCACGGTCCAAGTGCGAATGCGTTTTAAAAGCACTGTGGAAGGGCAGTGCTGAGTGTGGTGGGCAAGGAAGCAGCATGGTGACAAAGAATTGAACAGACGAAACAGATTGGCCCGAAAAATGAATCAAAAAGTCTGCAAGTCCAGTTTTCAATCTGAAAACCATAGGCTTCCACCGACTGGCCTTCCACATCGAAGTGAGAACGAGAGAGAAGAGGAGACAATTTGCATTGAGCGTCACTGCTGATATCCGGGCTGATCGTCAACTTCGTAACCAATAAGCGTAGTGAACAGCAGAGTGGCCTCGCTCATATGAACCCAGTTGACGAGAGAAAAGGAAAGAGAGATCAGACCTTGAGAGTACGTGCAACTGGCCTGTCACAGGCTGGGTCAGCAACAGCAGCAGCAGCTTGCTTCCACCAGCACTGCTGCAGAAGGCCCCGACTACTAAGTGCCAGATGGCAAAGTCAAGACAAGTCTCTCTTTGTAAGATGGTCCGTTCACACAGCCGCCACTCGACCTAACTGCCACTGCATCGTCACTCTCAGCCATAGCAACAGCTGGACAATGGGGAGAAGGAGAGAAAGAGAGGACCAAGTTGTGATCAAATCACAACAAATGGGTGAGCACAGACACTGGGGACTGGTGAGCACTGAGGAAGCGGACGGACAGAGAGCCTGTCCGCAGCATGCTGTCTCTGCAGCCTCAGCTTCTCCGCGTGTCAATTAAGCGGCACTTAATTAGCGCATCTCGTTACTTTTGACAATTCTACGGCTGCTAACACATCGCCAGGCTAGATCGATTCTGGCCAGATCATTCTCTCATGGTTCAGACGGACAAGCTGAGGCTTTTCACCTCTTAGAAACAACAGTCGTTGTGGTAGTAGAACACCTGCTCAGGTCGCTAAAAAACAGAAGGTCTGTTGAGGAGAATAGAAAAAGAAAAAGAGAGAGACTTGAGACGGTCAAAGACAGCTGAGACAGGAGAGGGAGAGGGAGAACGAGTGCTCCACAACTCTGGGACCGACTTGTTGCTAGAGACAACTGAGCAACAGGTTGACAACGACAACAATGAACGTCTGTCAGAGACTGAGCAGGGTAGTCTAGGACCACTCTGGGCCACGGTGGCTGCATTCAAGGCAACAGCACCTGATCAGTCAGAAAGCAGATCAGCGGCTCATTTGAACCAATCCCAGTAGTAGTAGAAGTGATGATGGCGGCTTTATCATCCTTAGCAGCATCACCAGCACGAACCCAATACATCCTCAGAGAGTTGATAGTTCGGAGAGAAGCCTGAACATGAGCGAGCAAACACGAGCAAAAGCCCTAAGGGTAGTTTCCCACACTAAACAAACTTCAATAAAAGTGCAGCACATTGGCAGTGCGATAATAAAATAGAAGGTGAAAGGCACCTTTGTGTGAGGCTGCTTTGGCTGCTGCTGCTGCTGGTACCAGTGGTAGTGTTGGTGGTAGTGGACAGAGCAGCTTTACATCGCCGTCTGGCCAGCACGACACAGACACCTTGGAAAAAGAGAAAAAGAAGGGAAAAAGCAGGGGCAGCAGAAAAGCAACTGTGCAAGGTGGTCAGAGTGTTCGAGTGCTGGTGGCTCATGAGGAGGCTAAGGAAGCGAGGCCAGCAGTCAGCCAGGAGACAACTGTTTCGCTTTTTAAATGGCCACGAGGGTAAGCAGAAATTGAGCAGCTGAGCAGCTGAGCAAGAAGCGTCCCTGATAAAGAGAGGAAGACTAAAAACTGATGATCAGCTGTCACTACGGTGCAGTCGCTGAGAAAGTATAACAGTAGGTCTGCGCTGACTACTGCTGGCAAACTGCGGGCTAATGGTGTCATGTGTCCAGATTGTGTATGTGTGTGTGTGTGTGTGTGTGTGTGTGTGTGCAGCAGAAGAGTGCACCAGAGTGACCACAGTGCAGCAGCACAGCAACAAGTGACCAAGGTGGCGAGGCAAGTCAACCTTTCCAAGAACAGCCACAGCAGCAGCAGATCAATTGACTTGCCAATGGTGATGGTGCAATTAGAGCAAGAAACACTTACTTGTAGCAGGTGCAAAAGCGCTTGCGTTATTCCAGGCTTCGATTATTAGCGAAAATGTGCCCTGTAAAAGTAGTGGTGGTAAAGGGGGAGGAAGAAATAAAGAAAAGACAGAAATGGATGAGTGGTTTGAAGGAAAAAGTAGATTAAAGGCAGATCAAATGGCAGAACTGCTGAGTTTTTTGCTCGTCTCGCTCGGGTTTGATCTAATTGAGTGGTAGCACGAGTTGTGAACATCTCAGGTGTTACTTACAGGCCAGGAGAAGGTAAAGGGAAACTTGATGACGTGTGCAGTGATCTGATTGGCGCTGAGCACCTCTGTCACCTTCTGCCCGTACAGGCAATCGTCTAGTTTTGGGTCGATGTTTGCTTGGTAGTTTTTGAAGCAAACACGAAAAAATGTTTGACACTTTTCTTCGCAGACTGCTGGATGGCTGCTGCTGATGGAGGTGCTGTTTTGCAGGCCACAACACTGACCGGACGCATCTCGGTTCAGCTCATTGGTGAATCGGTCTACTCGCAGTTCGAACATTCCGTCACAGGTAACCTGCAAAAGTAAACAGACAAACATAGAAAGAGCATGGTTAGCATACGACAGGGAAAGATGCTGGGGAAAAAACAAAAGGAAGCGGGGAGGAAGAAGAAAAACAAGGGAGAAAAACGAAAAAGAAGAAACGGACTGGAATCATATGGAGCGAACTCGTAGGCGTTGACGACTGTTGCATTTGTCTAAGCTAATTAAAGCACAACACATCGCACCATTGTGTTTTATGGCGAGCGCCATTGCCGCAAATCGCCAAACGGTGACTATGTGTGCGCGACAGACAGACTGGCAGCCTGTGTGAATGCAAAGGAGAGAAGGAAAAGAAAAAACGCAGACGCCACAAAGTCGCAGAAGAGCGACTGGCGAAGAGCAAACTCAATCAATTTATGTGTCAGCACTTCCGAGCAGCGCAGTACTGGTCGCCGAAAGTTG